TGCTGACAAATCTAAAGCCTGCTTTAGATTCTGTGTGTGTGTGTGTGTATCTCTCTCTCTCAAAATAAATTTAAAAATTATATAAAAATTTAATTTAATATAACTTAATTATTAAATTTATATATTTAATTATATTATATTAATTATATATATTTAATTATATATATTTAATTATATAATTAAATTATAAATATAATTTTAAAATTATATAAAAAAAAGAACTATTGACTTTAACAGCAAACTGAAATAACAAGGGCTTCACTGATAAGGTGCCTTGGTATTTACTATACATCCCCCTTCTCCGTGCGGTGGAGAGTCATCGCAGGGGGCGCCTCAATGGAGGCACTGCTCTCTGAAAGGGCCTTGGGTTGGGGGGGTGTCCAGGGGCAGCTGCTGACCTCCTGACACCAGGAGCCACAAGCCAAGCGCAATGCAGGTAAACCAGGAGCCCGCAAAGCAAGCACACCCTCAGGGAACCAGGAAGCAAAAGCCTTTCCTCCTGTAGTCCCTCTGGTGCCCTCTACTGACACGTCATATCGCACCACTTAACAAAGGAAACCGAGTTCAAAGGCCCAGGTCAATTTTCACAGAGCAAACAAGCTGAATTTGTGTGTGAATTTGGAGCAGAGTCAATAAACCGATAAGCGGGACCACCACGGAACTGGGGTGTTACCGACACTGAGTGCATCTCGGCCAGGGCCGCTGTAGCGTGCGGTGAGCTGAGCGGTCTCACACAGGCAAGAACCACCCCTGTAATGGCGCCAGTAGCACCCCAGTATCAGCCAGGGCCCCGCAGGAACCGGCAGCACTCTCAAATAAGGATACTCTGAGAGGAGTCTCTGGATGAAAGTCAAGGGCAGAGTTTCTTGACACGGCAGTGGGCAGGTGTGGGGAAATGAGGGGGACAGTGCGGATCCCTGGGGCTGCTTACCCCCCACCCCACCTCTGCTTCCGGTCTGAAGGGGCAGGAGGCTCTTGAGATCTGGGAAAGAAGCATGTGGAAAGAGCTGCCTGATAGAATGACAGGAACTGTGACCTTTCAGCCCAGGGTACGGCCAGCCAGAGGCCCTCAGGGGGGTAATTAATACCCCAAACTCACGCTCTCCCCTCTGACCTGCTGGTGCTGCATCCCTCATCCCACCCCAACCCCCATGTCGAGTGAACCCAGATGGGAGCCAGAAGCATGGAGAGCCACAGGCTGCACAGCGCCCCGCTGAAGTCCAGCTCGATGGGGAGGGGGCCGAGGGCTGGGCAGGGATGGGGCTGGCTGCTCCTCCGGCCCCAATTTGAGCCCTGGGCCCGGTCACCCCCAGAACCTCACATTTGGGTAGCATCTCATCCAACAAGATCCGAACGAGGGCCAGGTTGGACATGGCAGGGAGGTCAGAGGCGTCCAGCCTGCAGAGGTTCAGAGGCTGTCCGGGCCTCGCCACTGGCATGAGAGCCTCGAAAGGCAATGCCTGAAACCCCAAGAACTCAAGAGAGAAATGGGCACATTCGTTTGACCATAGCCACTCCTTGTCCTGAAACCTGACAGCACCTCCCTGCGTCAGGACGAAACAGGCACCCTCGAAGTAAGGGCCTAATGCTCCTCGACGTAGGTGAAGGGTCGATTTTTCTGATGTCCCTTCAACACCTGCTTTTGGAATAGGTGCTCTCGCAGAGCCGCCACGCCACAGAGACGGTCGGCCAGGAAACGGAGCAGCGGCCTTCCCTCCTTCTGACTGCCCTCCAGGGTCCCCGCTCTGCTCAGGCCACAGGTGCCCCCCATCCTCCTATTCCAGAGTGGGGCCGCCAGGTGCAGGGGCTCTTAAAGCCCCCAAACTCTTCCTTCAGTCTCCCTCCAGTCGTAGCCCGCTCCAATTCTGCCCTGGGCGCCGCCGCCCTGCCGGGATTAGGGCAGCTCTGTGCAGTTTTAGGCCATGTACAGATTCGTGTAATCACCACCAGAACTGTGCCATCACTGCAGAAGTCGGTTGTGCTGCCTCCTTGTGTGTGCACCTCCCCTCGCCACCCCCGTCCCCTGGCAACCACTGATCTGCTCCCCATCTCTATAGTTTTATCATTTAAAGAATGCTATATGGGGCACCTGGGTGGCTCAGTCGGGTAAGCGTCCGACCTTGGCTTAGGTCATGATCTCACAGTCCATGGGTTCGAGCCCCACACTGGGCTCTGTGCTGACAGCTCAGAGCCTGAAACCTGCTTCAGATTCTGTGTCTCCCTCTCTCTCTGCCTTCCCCTGCTCACACTCTGTCTCTCTCAAAAATAAATAAACATTAAAAAAAAAAAAAGAATGCTATATAAATGGAGTCACACAGTTTGTACCCTCTTGGGACTTTTTCACTAGGCATAATATCCTTGAGTTCATTTCAGTTGTTGCCTGTATCAGTAGTTGATTCCTGGGTGTGGCTTAATATTCACTGTATGGTTGTACCAGAGTTTAACAAGTCACCTGCCAAAGGATGTTTGGGTTGTTTTTAATATTTTCTATCATGAATAGTGCTGCTATGGACATTTACGTGCTATATAATTCATTTTTAAGTGCACAGCTCAATGGCACCAAGCACATTCACCTGCTTGTGGAACCGTCAGCACCATCCATCTCCGTGACTCTCTTCCTCTGGCAAAACTGAAGGGCCATAAGCATTCAACACCAACTTCCCATTCCCTCCTCCTTCCAGTCCCTGGTAGCCACCATTCCACTTTCTGTCTCTGTGAGTTGGCTACTTGGAGTATCTCATATGAGTAGAATCATACAATATCTGTCCTTCTGTTGTGTGGTTGTGTGTATGTGTTAAGTAGGCTTTACATCCAACACGGCACTTGAACTCACGACCCTGAAATCAAGACCTGACACCAAGAGTTGAATCTTGTTGGGAGGGTGCCTGGATGGAAGCTGGTTGAGCATCTGACTCTTTTTATTTTTTTAATTTTTTAAATGTTTTTTATTTATTTCTGAGAGAGAGAGACAGACAGACAGACAGCATGAGCAGGGGAGGGTCAGAGAGAGAGGGAGACACAGAATCTGAAACAGGCTCCAGACTCTGAGCTAGCCGTCAGCACAGAGCCTGACGCAGGGCTCGAACCCACAAACCGGGAGATCATGACCTGAGTCGAAGTCAGACGCTTAACTGACTGAGCCACCCAGGCGCCCCAAGCATCTGACTCTTGATTTTGGCTCAGGTCATGATTCCAGGGTCATGGGATGGAGCCCCGCATTGGGCTCCATGCTGAGCATGGAGACTGCTTAAGATTCTTTTTCTTTTCTTTTCTTTTCTTTTCTTTTCTTTTCTTTTCTTTTCTTTTCTTTTCTTTTCTTTTCTTTTTTCTATTGCTCTCGCTCACTCTTGCTCTCGCTCACTCTTGCTCTTTCTCTCCCCCCCTCTGCTCATCTCACCCACGAGCATTCTCTCAAAAAAAAAAAAGGGGGGTCCGACTCTTGGAGTGCCTGGCTGGCTCAGTAGGTAGAGCATGTGACTCTTGATTTCAGGGTTGTAAGTTTGAGCCCCACGCTGGGTGTAGAGATTACTTAAAAAAAAAAAAATCTAAAAAAGAAAAGAGTCCAGTGCTTAAACCGACTGAGCCTCCCAGGCAATCCAACACCTACCCTCTTGTAACTGGCTTATTTCACTTAGCAGAATGTCCTCAAGTTTCACCCATGTTCCACCACGTGTCAGAATTTCTTCTCAAGGCTGAATAATACTCTGTTGTATTTAGACAACACACTTTGTTTCTCCATTCATCCGTCCACGGATACGTAGGCTGCTTGCATCTTCTATTGCGAATAATGCTGCTACGAACATGGGTGTACAAACATCAGCTCAAGTCTCTGCTTTCGGCTCTTTGGGGCACATACCCAGAACTGGAATTGCTGGATCAAATGATGACCCTATCTGTAATTGTTCGGGAGCTACCATACTGCTTTCCACATCTACATCTGCCGACAAGGACAGCAGCTGGGGACGTGGCCAGATGTCACCTGTCACCCAAACCGGCCAGAGCTCAAACATGAGACGCTCCGCTGATGAGTAAGGAGAGCTAGAACAAGGGCTGGAAAGCAGGAGACACTGCCCAGTCCTTCACCAGCTGTGTCCTTGGGCAGGTCACTCTGTCTCCCATGACCTCGGCCCTAAGCTGTACAACGCAGGCGCTGTACTAACTCAGTGAGTGGTTTCAAATCCCAGGAAGAAGACTGACGTTCCTGGAAGAGATGGGGCTTGGCCAGCGGACGGCCTTCAGACTTGGCTCTTCTTGGGTCCCCGCCTGCCTGCCCACCTGCAGGTTTTGGATTTGCCAGGCTCCATAATTGCAGAGCCAATTCCTTAAAATAAATCTCTTTTTATAAGCACACGCTACTGGTTCTCTCTGGAGATGCCTAATACAGATTGTGGTTGAAGAGACACACAGATCTCTGAGCTATTTTAAGTGCTTGAAAATCTCAACCTCCACCCTCATCCCATATCCAGGGACTCCTGACAACATTTACACGGGTTACCTAAAATCTGTTAGGTCTTAGGTTTTCTACCACTGTTCATAGTTTTTACTGTGGCTTCAGTTCTGTCGCTAATTGGCTAAACTGTGGACGCTTAGCTTAAAGGCATAGGCTTTGGAGAGTAAGACTTTGGGTACTGCCCTCTTCCGGCAAATTACTTCACCTCTCTTGAGTACTCTTCCTCATCCGTAAACCGGGGATGACAACTATCTCAGGAACAGAAATGCTGTGATTTAATTGTCATTACATTTTAGAAAATTAAACACAGAGCCAGCAGCCCTGGCGTGAGGGGAGCTGTAATTAGCAGCACGTCTACCAAGGGAGAATGTGAGATGCTCGCTCCGTATCAGGAGATCAGTATCACCGCAAGTGAACCGCCACTGGTCATTTCCAACGAATTTCCAGCTCTGACACAGGTGGAGCGGGACCCTCGGCCCCCGGCAGCGGGGGATCCCAGCCCCGCCCCTAGCCCCGCCCCCAATTAGCCCCGCCCCCGGCCGGCGCTCACCTGGATCTCCTGACAGGCCGCCGCCGCCCGCCGGCCCTCCGCCTGCTTCTCCTCGATGAGGCCCAGGCCCAGACCGAAGGCTAGAAACACGGCCCGGCCGCAAGGGCCCGCGCCACCCCGGGCCCGCACGGCGAACTGTCGCTGGAGCCGCGCCGCCAGCCCGACCACCGACTGGCGGAAGAAGCGGTAGCGGTCGGGCAGCCCGAGCCCGAGCCTGCGCGCCTCCGCGCCGGGTCCCGCGGTCTGGCCCGGGCGTTCTCCGCGGCCCCATCCCGCCGCGGGGCCGGGCCGCTCTGGCCGTCCCCAGCCGTAGGCCGGGCCAGGCTTGGCCGTGAAGCGCAGCAGCAGCGCCCGACCCAGCTGTAGGCCCCGGCCCAGCGCCTGTCGCACCGCCATGGTGGCGCCGCGACCCGGTCCCCCAGCCGCCGCAGGCCTCCGGCACGCCCGGCTCCACAACAAACTTCGGGGACGGCGCCTCTACGCAGGCGCGGGCGCCGAGGGGCGGGACGGGGCGGGGCCGCCGCTCTGGCCGTTCCCCGGCTGGGCGCGAGAGGGCGCCGTGCGCGCAGCTGCGCGGCGCGTTGGTTCTCGCTCTTGCGCACTTTGGACCCGCCGGGGAGGAATTAAGGGCTGGTGCGGTGCTGGGTGTGAATGTCGCTGGTCCTGGGCCAAATCGAGAAATTGAGATAGGAAACTAATATTGATTGACTATCACCCGTCGCGCCAGACTCTTTTGTAAATTTGTTTAATTTTCGCACAAAGATAGGAATGTCATTTTTTCAGTAAGGAAACTGAGGCATTGGAAGGACAGTGACTGATGTCCCACTCATTATCAGAGGTGAGATTAACGTTCACGTTGCCCTCGCTTATTCTTGGGCCCTTGTCCACCCCCACCACTCATGCCCGTAGGCTTCTCTCTACAAGCCCACAGTCCTGTCAGCCTCCTAGGACTCCCCAAGAGAATTCCCACCCAAAGTTTACATTTTTCAGATGAGTAAACTGAGGCCCCAAGACATGGAACAACTTGCTCTAAGTCACAATGGCAGAGTTGTGTTCCCCAAATCCACTGTTAGGAATGGCTGATAAAGGGATTTGTTCTGAGTGACTTCTTTTTTCTTTCCTTTTCTTGACTTTTTTTAATGGGAAATTTCAAACATACACAAAAAATAGAATAATACAGTGAACCCCATATACCCATTGTCCAGCTTTAACAATTACCAATAAATAGCCATTTTTTAAATCCATTTACACCTTCCTGCTAACACTGCCCCTATTACCTGAAAGCAAACCCCAGACTACATTACTTTATTTATACTTTAGTATCTATCTCTAAGAGGTAAGCATTCTTTGTAAAGAAACATAGACAATATTGTTATCATCTCTAAAGAGATTAACATTAACTCCATAATATCATTCACTACACAGTTGATATTCAGATTTCTCCACTGTTTTATTCTGCTTTATGTTACTCAAATTGGGATCCAAACAAGGTCTACATAATGTATTTGGTCAGTGAGTTATTCTTTAACAAGAGATGAAGCCATCTCTGGGCGAAGGAGGTATATTTGGTGGTGCTGTCAGTTTTTGAATGTTCCGATAATCAGGGATGGCTCTATTCCTTACCCCTAAGGCTGGTAGATATGTAAAATGTTTGGGTAGGTGTGGTCATGTATCTCTGTGTGAGGGGGTGAGCTTCCAGGCAGAGACAGTGCTTGAGTTATTAGGCACAGCCTAATCCATTTATTTCAGGGCTCCCTCGGGTCTTTCAGGACAGCCCTGGCTCCACACTGTGGAGAAAGTCAGAATAGCAGGCTTGCGTGTAAAAATGAGGCAACTGCCAAATGCTTCATTGTGAAGCATTTTGAATTGGTGAATTGAAACATGTTGAAACTAATACATACATTAAATGGAGACCTGATACTTTCACTCCTAGGTAGAGGCCCACAGGAATGCATACCTATTTTCCCAAGAATGTTTGTACTGGCACTATTCCACATTGTGGAAAGTGGAAACATCTCAAATGGCCATCTACAGTAGGCTGGATAAATTGTATATTCACTCAGGGGACTACTGAACAGCCATAAAAGTATCTACAACTAAATGCAACCGCATGGACATAGTTTATAAATATACTGATCAGTAAGGAAGGCAAACATAAAAAGGAATACATATTTTGTAATCCCATTGCACGAAGTTCAAGGGCAGGGGAAACCAATCTAGAGTGTTAGAGGTCAGGATAGCAGTTGTCCTTGGGAGGTAGTTACTAGAAGCAGACTCAGGAGGGCTTTTGGGCTCTAGTGACATTCTCCTTCTTGATCTGGGTATGTTCATTTGATGCAAATTCATCAAGGGGCTCAGTCAGTTAAGCCTCTGACTATTGATTTCGGCTCAGGTCATGATCTCTCAGTTCATGAGATCAAGCCCCCACATCAGGCTCTGTGCTGACAGCACCAAGCCTGCTTGGGATTCTCTCTTTCTCCCTCTCTCTGCCTCTCCCTCCCCCACCTGTTACAAAATTAAAGAAATAAACATCAAAAAAATTTCAAATCTAGTCATCTGCTGTGTGTCGCTATTATGACAGCACTTCTCTGTAATGTTTACGGAGAAGGAACAAAGCTTCTCTGAGAGATTTAATGTTTTAACCACAAGGGTTTTCTTTACTCTCCTAAGAATATAACCTTTTACCATAAGGCTTATGATGATTACACAGCTTGTAAGATGTATTCACTACATGGGCCATTGTATTGATTTCTGAGTTAAAGAGGGCATTTGTTATCAGCCTTTGGTTTTGTTCCCCTAAGCTGCAAATAACCTCAACAACCCTCCATGCTTAACCCACCCACCCGCAGAAACGAAAACTCCAAGAAGTTAATTAACCCTCCACTGTAGCCTGTGCAGTTTCATTTTCAACAGAGAGCTCTCAACTGGTTCACTTTTGTAAAAAAAAAAAAAAAAAAAAAAATCTAAGTGTCTTCTGACAGGTCTGAACCAGGCACAGCACAAAGCTTGATTCTTCAGCAGACCTCTGTATAGGAAGGGCAAGCAAGTGGATTTTTTTGAGATGCTTCTAGCAGAAATTGTAGGGGTTCTGTGTTTTCCATTCTCAGGGCAGATACAGCCTCATGGGGGTGGGGGTGGGGGCGCAGAGGCACAGCAGCTGCCTTTCTTAGTGATCATGGCCCTGATTCTACTTGCCCCTGTCTGTCTTCCTGAGAGGCAAAAGTCTTCCTATAGTGCTAGGGAGTCTCAGGTCTCAGGGCATCCTCTGGATGTTCTCCCTTAACAACTTCTCTCTCTCCCTCTTTTTAAATGTTTATTTTTGAAAGAGTGCGAGCAGGGGAGGGGCAGAGAGTAGGACAGAGAACCCAAAGCAGGCTCTGAGCTGTCAGCACAGAGCCTGACATGGGGCTCGAACCCATGAACCGTGAGATCATGGCCTGAGCTGAAGTCAGATGCTCAACAGACTGAGCCACCCAGGCGCCCCAACATCTTCTATCTCTTTAGTGCTATCCCAAGAAGGTGACATTGGGGGTATGGAATTCGGTTTTCTGCCGGGATATCTGTTTATACTGTAGACTTAATGTTCTACACAAGTCTCATTCATTCCCTAGAACATTTATTCTTTTTATTAAAAATTTTTTTTAATGTTTATTCATTTTTGAGAGACAGAGACAGAGTGTGATTGGGGGGAGGGGCAGAGAGAGCAGAGGGAGACACAGAATCCGAAGCAGGCTTCAGGCTCTGTCAGCACAGAGCCCGACATGGGGCTAGAACTCACTGACCGGTGATATCATGACCTGAGCGAAGTCAGACGCTTAACTGACTGAGCCAAGCAGGTGCCACACTAGAACATTTATTAAATATCAACCATGTACCGGGCAGGTTTTGCTGTGCTTAGCCATGGGAATTCGAGGAAAATGGAGGGAGTCCTCAGAGAGGTCCCAGGACACTTCTCTGTCACATGCTCTGCTTTGAGAGCATCCCTCTGTCTTCATTGTACCCTTTTCCCTCCAGGCGACAAGACTGTGTCATTTTTGGTAAAGTAAGTAAGATTCCCAAGAAGCATCATTTAACCTTCCCTGAAAGGACTCGGGGGGATAAAGCTGATGCTGATAGAAAAAGATGGAAAAAGACAAGACTTAAGAAAAAAAAAAAAGAAAAGAACCGTTGAGGGATGTTTGACCTTCCCTGTGGACGGCGTCCTTTGGCAGCATTTCAGTGCTCTTTGTCTCCTCCTGGCAGGAGACAAATTTTCCCAGAGCAGCAACATCCTTTATCCACAGACCATTCCAGAAATGCTATCTCTAAATTGCCTGCAGAGGTGAAGGAGTTTTTGCTGAAACTGTCGACAGAGCAAAGCTGCTACTAGATCAGAATCCGGCCACGTGAAATTCCTGGCCTGCCGTTTGGGGAGGCTGGAGCCAGACAGCAGTGGGCAGAGAGAGAGATTTCACTGGGAAGAAGGGAATCCGTTTCACCTGGCCAAGATGGAGGACAGCGTGGTGGGGGCAGATTAGGGAGACATGGTGTTGCTGAGAAATTCAGATAGTCCGGGGCTCAGGCCGTCCCATGAATTGCTGCCCTGCAGTGATTACTCAAAGTAAAAACATGGCCAAGTCACCTTTTGTTACAGTCCTTCACAGGCTCTTTGCCTTTGCCCTCTGCCCACCCCACCTCCACCCCCAAAGCCCAAGCTCCTTAGCCGGGCACAGCAAGGTCTTCACTACTTGGCCCTGGCACCTTTCTTGCTGCCCCCCTTCCCTGCCCTTTATGGTCCAGCAAAACCGAGTTACTTGCCGTTGTCCCAAGTATCATGCCGGTTCCTCTGTCTTGATTTACCTCTTTGAAAGAATCACCATTCGTAGTTGAGGTCACCTCATCCAGGAAGCCTTCCTTGACCTTTCCTAGACTGGGCTAGATGCCTCTTCGCTGTCTCCTCCTCTAAACTGTTAGTTCTGTTAGGACAGGGATTGTGATTTTGAAACCTTAGGTCCCTAGCACCCAGCATGGGGGCTGCTTGATCTCTAGCCCTTCCTGAGAGCCATGGGGAACACAAGCCCTCTGCGGGCAGTCTTGCTCCCAAGGCGGAGGGCGGGGGGAAGGGTCAGGCTATCCTTTTAAATCACTGGACTCACTCCTAGGAAGGGGGGAAGTGGGTGGAGAGGAGCCAGAAGGAAGCCCTGGGAGTGACAAATAGCTCCTCCTTCCCCCAACAGGATCAACTTCTGCATCTGTTGTAGCATTTACACTACATGATTGCTACCTGAATTTCTTTTCTGTGGCTTCTTTTTTATATTCTTTCTGGTTTTTTTTTTTTAATGTTTATTTTTGAGAGAGAGAGAAAGAGAGAGAGAGAGATCATAAGTGGGGGAGGGGCAGAGAGAGAGGGATACAAAGAATCCCAAGCAGGCTCCCCACTATCAGCGCAGAGCCGGATGTGGGGCTCAATCCCACGAACCGTGAGATCATGACCTGA